ATTTAGAGAAATGTGGTGAACTTAGGCAGGCATTTTCAAATGGGGATATTAATCGATATTTAAAATCTGAGCCATTATGATGGACAGATGTTATCCTATGGAACTGTATAGATAACATCTTAACTGATGACCCTCTTGAGTATGCTAGGGACAAAGGCGCACTAAAGCAGCCATGCTATTATGGGCCCGGTGATTCCAAACGTGAACTAGTACCGATTTTAGAGTCTCATGAGTTTAGTGTCAAAAATGTTGAAGTAGAAGATTTTGCTATGAGGGGCGTTGAATTAGTACAAGAGACAAGAATGAAGGGAACAGAAGTAGGGGTAAAATACCCTTGTCGATTATCTTTTAAGGAGCGGGAACAGAAAGTTGAGGGTAGATTATTCGGCACCGGGGAAATGACTCATTTCAAATGAGGAATAAGCTGAATTTGAGTCCACTGATGATACAAAGTAAAAAAGTGTTTAGCTACTTCCCAGGCCAGCTTATGACACCCAGCGATCAAACCAGAATAAGTGATCAAACACCTCTCCTTAAATCGACATGTAAGTAAACTGTTAAATATTCAGGGTCACAATCAGCCGATGCAGGAGAAAAACACCGGCCCATTATGTAAGTATATGGGTGAAGTAGGAGGACAGGAGGGTTGGGCTGATCTACCTAATTACTTTTCTCATCTCGATGCATACTATTACTATGCCTATGAGGATAAAGTTATATCATCTAGGGAACAAAAGGGTGGGATAGAAGGATGGTTTAATCCAATATGGACACTGATGACATTGATGGCTATGGAACGTGTAAAATATTGGGAAGGATTACGTGTGATTGATACATTAGCTTATTCTAATGGTAAACCTAATAGTGGAACTGTCACAGGGTCGGGGGAAAATCGTGACCCGGCGGGGGAAAGAAAAAAAATAAAGAAAAGAAAAAGGAAAAAGATCAGCTAGAGCACTAGAGCACTAGAGCACTAGACGTGCGCACGGTGCGCACGTCTAGTGCTCTTGCGCAGCGCACCTAGTAGTAATAACATAGATATCCCCGATTCCAATCTAGATTCCAATCTCCATTTGACCATGCCTCGCGCGTCCCATCGTAAGCTGTGGTCTCCAGTAAGAGATCCGCGGTACCGGGAGGCGTTGGATCATCTGGCTCGGACTGGGGAATGGAAACTGTGCCGTAGCGGCCGCGTGCCGCGCGAGGTAATAATGGCAAAAGAAAGGATCATTGAGGATAGGAGACGGCGACAAACACAAACGATGCAAGCATTCTTGGCATCGTCCAAGGTAAGAGCCGACAGAGATCAGCCCTAACCGAGGTTCAATCCTCAGGCCGCGCCTAAGAAGTCTTCACAGTCTGTTAGTCATCCTCTTCTTGCAAACACAAGCAGCCCCCAGGAGACAGTAGTGGTCCACCCTGACGGCGGCGGCTTCCTAGCTTTCCTTCAGGCTCCTCCTGTACACTCTTCACAGTCTGTTAGTCATCCTCTTGCAAAGACAAGCGGCCCCCAGGAGACAGTAGTGGTCCACCCTGACGGCGGCGGCTTCCTAGCTTTCCTTCAGGCTCCTCCTGTACACTCTTCTTCTGTAGCTCTATGAGCGACAATATTAAGATCACATTATTATGATGGTGATAAGGCTGATAGTACGCTGAAGAGGTAAGTTTCTGTTAGCGCATTTTCTGGAGATAGCTTACACATAGAAGAACAAAATTTCGATTCTATTGAAGGAGGATGCTCTTCAGCTATGGAGATGTCAAATTATCCGGGATCTATAACTCTCAGAGAGTTATAGATCCCGCCGAGCCTCGCTGGGACTTGAACCGACGACCTTCCGCATGCATAGTTCCGCACACGCCCAAGGTGAAGGTAAGTTCGATATTTTCGTCTCACTAAGAATGTGGTGGTAAGCTACCACTGGTAGCCACTAGCGTATCGCAGCATTAGTCATCATTATATCATATCAGTCAACACATACATAGCGCTGCTTCAGAGCCTCGGTCAACTGCTAGAAACTCAGGACATTACCATAGGTTATTGGCGACTCACCGATTGTGGCAATCATGATGTTCCGATGGATTACAT